AACTTGGGACTGGACGGTTGTATATTAAAGCTTTCAGTGTTGAAGTTTCTGTTATAGTAAGAATAACACAATTGATGGTGTTTGTTTTCACGGTCCTAAGAGCCTGCGATCAACGAACAACTAATGGACATGGGGCTCAGACGCTCAATGAAGGTGAAGGCATTGAGAAGTCTGGAGAGTGATTCAGTTAGGACTTCATGTGGGATTTGGGAGCATATATATATATATATATGTGTGTAAAATAACGGGTATAACAGGGTGACACCGGGCGGGGGTAAGTTCCAGTTTATCTTCGCTTTTATTCTCACACGGGTTTATACAAGTATTCTCGTATACGTCTATCATCTAATATGTATAGTCTTTTTTTGGTCCAAACAGAGCGAATTTAGACAAATACCTATTTTCTTCTGTTCATTATCATCCCTAAACATGAGAAACAACGAGAATGAACCAGTAATTTGTCTTACAGGTTTAGTAAATATGTAATGAGCCCGTTTGGAGCTGATTTTTTTTTTGTGTAAAATAGAAGTTTGAAGTGTTTTTGAAAAAATCGATTTTTCCTTATAAGTCCTTAAACAAGTCCCATTTTTCAACTTTTTTGTTGTGATGATAAAAACTAATTTTGCCCAAAAAACTAATGAAAAAACAGTTCAATAAACCCAAATCCAAATAAACTAGACTTTTTTTCCCTTTGAAATTAAAAAAGTTGAAATTTTAAGCCAGTTCCAAAATTAATAGCATCAGCCTTTTGTGGGGTATTTGCTTCTCTACCCAAATGACATCCAAAGTAGATAAACATCATTTCACGCACAAGCATTGCCTCAATATTTAACGATAATATTATTTGTCATCGATGACTCAATATCACCATTATCTTACTTTTTCTTACAAATGCACCCTCGTTGACGGATCATATGGATAGAGAAGCAAATGCTCTTAAAACTCACACCCTCCTCCTCTAAAAAGATATTTTTCATTTTTTTAAAAAAAAGTAGGATGAATAATCCATATGAACACACACAAATCCATTTGCTCTATTGTACGACTTCCTGGGGTCATCAAACTGAGATGTAGTTCTGGATCAGACAGCATATTAGTTCTGGATGAACTAGAGTTACCAAAGCATAGTATAGGTGAAAAATACTCGGTTTGAAACAGGAATAGATCATGTGATTTCAACGAAACATCCAAGATATGTCATAGCAATACCTAAAATCAAAGAAGCAAATTAACATTGCCAGATATTAATCTATATAATTCCTCCAGGACAGGAACATAATCGGACTAACTCTCCCACAATACAGAAGTTTACATAACCAGATTGCACAAAAATTAGGATGACTGCAACATAACAATTAGCGGCCACGACCACGTCCACGCCCACGACCTCGGCCACGACCCCGACCCAAAGCTCTTCCTGAATTGGGAATGGGGAGAAAAAGTTAAAGCTGCTCAGATGAAGTGATACACATTGGACCAAAATGCAAATATGATTCTGTGTATGGAAAAAACATAAGAGATTTGCGATACCAGCAGTTGGTTTCTTGGGCTTCACCCTAGGCGCCTCTTCCACCAGCAACGTTTCAAGATTTAAGCTGTCAGGAAGGATATAATATCGAATATTGGTACCCCTCACACTCAAGTGATCTAAAGTCACTGGGTTCTTTCCCTTCAGTGTAAGCTTTACAGTCTTCAAATGAGTGTTCATGCTAATATCCACACCTGTAGCATGCCAACAAACTACCCATCAGAAATGTGGTTCACACGGGTACAGATTTCATACAACCAAGTATTTTTGGATCAGCCGTCAATCTAGAAACAGCAAATTTGTGGGTTTCGATTGCATCACAGCCGCTTTGTTCATATGATGTCCAAGGCATGCTTACTTACAGGACCTAACTACAACGTTTTCTGTTGGATTTTCTTAGTGTCACTTTTTAGGATATTTGTCCCACAAATACTTAAAGAGAAAAGTTAAGAAATAAATATTTACAAATTAAATTTCATAATGAGATATGCTAGATTAATATACCAGCTAGAAATATATACCTGAAAAGGTATTCTAGCCAACTCAACGATTGCAGAGATACGTTTAATGGCACCATGACAACATGGGAAATAACACAAGCAATGTCCCAATCAAGATGCAGCTGACATAGCAGCTCCAAAATCTGAATGCATAGAAGAGTACAAAGAAGCAGGAGTGTTGCAAATTTTGTCACGATTGATTTAGTGAACATCTTAATAATATAAAATGGTAATTGATCAATCCTTACAAGTTCTTACTTATTTTATAAACACAACAATTTTGCTTGCAATCCCTACGTCAATTGAACCTTTTAGCAATCACTAATCTACATTTTAAAAATCAAATATCAGCGCAGAAATTATCCTCTTAATGACCAGTGCATCATGAATTTGGCCACTTCTTCCAAGATTTTTGCAATCAACTGACTATTGGGATCTCCTTATGGTTTGGGTTGGAGTGTTTCATGTCTAAAAGGATGAATATGGAGGTTTGGAGCAGTTATGATATGAGTGCCCATAAGCATGCAAGAATCCAGATACTAGGGAATAAAGTCATTTATTAGTCAGTAATCACAGGTAGAGGTAGCCAACCCATTTTGTGACTTCAAAGACTCCTCCACATCATTAAAGAAATGAGATTCATAAACTACCCAGAAATTTTTGTACCTTTTGGAGGCAATCTTTAAGCATTATCTCTCTTGACTTATGGTTTCGTACATTACTTTTGCTTTAGAGTCAACAGAAATCTAAGTCCATTTCCAATTGTGGTTGTCTCATAAATGCATTATAAATGTCCACTAAAACCAAACACCCAGAGATAGTAATAATGTTACAGCAAAACACAGCCAAAGATCCAATGATCCATCAAGAAACATGTTACTCTTTTAGTGTTATGGCACTGCTTACACCCCCTTATCTATATTTTTCAAGATAAATTAGGCATGGTGTAAATTCCCACCAACAATGGATGATAAATATTTCCCAAATGTTACAGCCTACCAGAGGCTATGCACACGACAATAATGTTGTGGTTGGGGTGGGCTGGGGGCAAAAGGACGACATAAACTCACCAACCACTACATAGAAGCACTACGAGTGTTGTGACAGATCAACTCAAACAAATCATAAAGCATGCATGATAATGTCAGGCTCCAATTCACTCTAAGAACCATTAAGAAGAAGTGCAAACTAATTCTCTACTGGTTAACATAAAACTGATGATGGAATTTTATTTAATTCTTAAGCTCAATGAAAAAAAATCATCCCAAAACTATTACTATGTTTTGGTAAACTAGGATAACAAAATAATCTATTACTATGTTTTGTTACAATTTAAGCATCTTACCACCGAGTGCCTCTATTAATTGGTTTTTCCCTAGAGATATTCCCCTATCCCATAAAATCGTGGCTTTGGAAAGGAACCATAAGATAAAAGTCATTGCAACGTCACAGATTCACTCGAGCATAACAGCATGACAAACGGTATTCTGCTCCCACCCACCCAAAAAACAAAATAAACAAAACCTTGAAAATGGAAATTTAAAGATTTCAAGAATTATTCTCAGATAGAAACAAGCAGAGAGGATCCTAAACCCTCAAGTTTCATGCACTAGTAGCAATAGTAAATGTCCACTTATGTGGGTTGGAGTTCAAACTTTGACTTGAAGTAGGATCTAGTTCTACTCGTAAGTCGAGAATCAATGACTGGGCTAGACAAGTATCATTGAGAAGCCAGTTGAGTTATGGCTCTTGCAATATCCCAAAGCCCCTTTTATGTCTTATGTGCATTAGCATCTTCTCCAAACTTCCATAGAAACCACAACCCAAATAACAAAGAAACAACCATGATCCATAGAACCCGATTTTGAAAGCACTAATACAAAGGAATCACTATGATCTAATTAATAGGTCACACCAAGTAAATTACAAAATGGAAACAAACCCAGATGGACCTACACTTGTTTGAATTCATGACGAACATGTGTAAGTGCAGAAAACATGGGTCCAATAATGCATATCGTGAAGCACAACAATCATAATTCCATTCCCATATTACACGCACAAGCAACTCTCGAGTTTCCATAAGAACCCAAAACCATTATTCGAGTTTGTGTGTGTGTGTCCATCAATCGACATTTAAAGGTTTGTTAAACCCTAATGCATTGTGTTGCTAAAGTTAGTAGAACACAAAAAAAAACACAGAACATGTATGAGTCAGAATTCAGCTCTCTTTTTGGCTCAAACGACTCCACTTTCCAGTTTGTTTAACAACATAACATCAGAAAACACATTACTCGAATATTTCTTCTTTTCTTTTCTCGCCAGTCAAACAAATAGATACATGTACCGATGTACATATATAGTCAGACACACATACAGAGAAAAAGAGAGAAACCTGTGATGGTGCCATGAACAACTGTTCCGTTCTTGAGCTCAATCGACACAGTTTCGTTGTTCAACTTCATCAAAAATCTGCTCGCACACAAACGTACATCATACAAAACGTAATCAAGAACTATAAATAATGAATTACAGTTAACATTACCAACAAAACGCCCAACGAATTGAAAAATGGAGATAAAAAAAAACCTAACGAGCTTCATTGTTGCAGAAGGAAGACGATTGTCTTTAGGGCTTTAGTTCAAGCAAAATCGAAACCTCCGCTCCTCGGAGGGTTTAGATCATTGGATGGGCTTGTGGAGAATAGTAACACCACGCTTTACGACGTCGTCCGCGATGGGTCCAACCGTCCAAGTTTCAAAAGATGGGAGTAAATCTATATAATAAAAACGAGACTGTGTTTTGAATTTTATTCTGGTTCCATTTTTCCTCTCAAAATCATCATTAATCATTTATTTCACCCATCATCTATTTGTCAAACTAAAACGTCAAATTACATCACTCATTTTTATCACATATTTAATTATTTATATTTTTCTTTTTTAAAAATATCATATCACTTATTTCTATCATATATTTAATTATTTAATATTTAATTAATTTGTAATTAATGTATTTTGAAAAATTTTAATATAGTGAGATCAATTTTTTAGATACTCAAATTTTATATTTTATCGTATTTTCAGGCACGGGTTATGACTAGTAACTAAATATTGGTTGTAATAATTAGGTTACATCACTATTAACACGTAGTATAATTATCTAATAATAATTCACCAAATAAAAAATTTAGACTCCACTCATTCAAATAATTATCCATTTGTTTGTTGCATGTCTACTTATAAAATATTAGATAAGATTAATAAATTCTATAATTTTAATCTAACTATTATTAAATAAGGTAATTATTAAAAATTGAGAATGATAATTAAAATTTTATTTTTGTGTATTGTTTCAATCATCTAAAAAACAGAAACGTTTCAACGTGTTTAAAAAATGTTCCGATTTGGACAAAAAATTAAAAAAAAATAAGAAATAATTTTTCAAAATATTAATCAAAATATATTAAAAAATCTTGAAATATTTTAAAACATTCCGAAACAATTATAAATATATTAAAACATTATATAACATTTAAAAATATTATGAAACATTTTAATTTAATTTCGATTATATTACTATTTCATTTCAATCTTTTTTAAAACGAAAATATTTTAAACGCAACGATTATTTCAAAACAAAATTTTAACCTTTGACTGAGAAACAGACGATGGGGGGAAGTCTGGATCCAAGTTTTCTCCTGGCCCATTCTTTGGGTTTTCTTCCAAGCCTAACTTGTTTGGGCCAAACTCAAATTGTAGAAGAATCTGAAACCTTACTTGGACCCCCTGGGCCATGTCCATTAGTCATCGTATGAAAAAAATAGTTTATATATAGACGTGTTTTTAGAAATACTTTAATCATAGCTGAATATTCAATTAGATCACCATTAATTAAATTACTTGGATGGTTAATTCAATTATTTCATTATCATAAACAAATTCGTGGACTCCATCTGCAACACAAGACACAAGCTCATCCGCTTCTTCTCGACAATTTGAGAGTATTACACATAAAATTTTTATCGTAAACATCAAGTTACACTTGATGACGACAACAAAGGCCTATTTGTTCATCGCCGATAATTTACTAAAATTTACTGTTTCAATTGTATCATCCAAAAGCTACATTTTTCGCTCACGAGAAATCTTAGACACAAGGGGTGAATCTCAAGTAGTATCTTGAGATGATCAATGCATTGATTTATTGAAAAATGATAATCTAGCTAATAAAAGAATATATTGTGCCTTATCTCTGAAGAAAACGCGGGAATAGCAGGAGTCGGAGGAATACTAACGAATACGAAAGACATATAAATCAAAGGAGCAACGCTACATAAACTTAAAAATTATATTTGATAATTATAACAATTGATTTCATTATGGATCTCAGCATTTATTAAACCTCATTACCTATTTAATGGTTGAGATTATCAAGTCTAATTTTTAACTTCATCTAACATTACTCAAATGTGAGAATTCTATGAAAAAATCAACCAAACAATTAGTGTAAGAGCAGAACTTTGGGCCGCCCATATGGGACTACTAGTAATGGCACAATAAACCCTTGGAAGTTGTATTTTGGAGTCGGATTCAACTGAAGTGTTCATCTTCTAACCGGAAGCATGGAGGAGACACGCCCCTTCAAGGCCCTCAAATTATAAAAAAAAGAAAATAAATACTTTGATTATTTGGATTTGATGATAATAAATTCAATCATTGTGTTCTGACTCTTATGGATTTTTGACCACATTTTTTATAGGGACCCTCTTATCTCTCCTTATAGATTTTTGACCACATTTTTTTTATAGGGACCATCTTATCTCTCCTTCTCCGAGCTCAAAATATGGAAAAAAAGGAATTGATAAATGTGAGAAGAGAAATGTTATATGGACTTAAAAATTAGACTTGATAATTTCAATCATTGATTTTACTATAGGTCCCAATATTTATTGAAACTCACTACCTAACTTATTTAATGGTTGAGATTATTAAGTCTAACTTGTAAGTATAGTTTTTAAGTCGATCTAGTATTACTCATCTAAGAATGACAATTCAATCAAATAAAATTGAAGATCTTTACAACATTTATTCCATAGAAATGTTACAAGCAAAGTTTCAAATCACATATGCTTCTAGGCCTAACGGAGGCCATCGCTCATGGCGAGTTATTCAAACTGGTCACTTATATTTCCATGCCTATTTTGTAGGAGAACATGATATATATCATCTAGGAGCTGGATGTGAAGTTGAAGTTGGCACAAGTAGTTCGCCTGCCCAGCAGTGTGGAGCTGAACCCTAATCTTGAAGTTGCCAAATCAAACTGAAGAAGATTGTCTTCCAACTGATACCCACCAATAACAATGGATGTCCTAGGGTTTGATCCGCCATTGATGAATCCAAGGCATAACACGTTGTCTCTAACCTGCACCATCGAGTTCGAACCCGTGATCGTCCAAACCACACTCTCGCTCTGCAAAACTAGTTCGATGTATGGCACTGCTGGTCCAACTCTGGTGCTAAGGACGTTGCTGGAGCTGAAACACACCTCAAATGGAGCCACCGATGCGACTCTAGTGATGTTCATCGCGGCTGCCTCTTTGATATAGGCCTCTGTGAATACTTTGAAGATGGAAGTCTCCATTACAGTGTAAGGATTGACGGTACTGATCTTTGTTCCGCCATTGCCTTCGCTATCAATGGACAGTAACGAAGTGTTGGAAGAAATGACTCTGTCTCTGATCTTGATAGACTTGACTCCAACAAAGTATTCTGCCGAGGGCTCGCCTTGGGTGAAAGACGATGCAGTGCTTACTGGGTTAATGTAGAGTGGGGTGTACGTGAGTGACTGAGAGGCATCGATATTGGGAAGGAGATTATATGGGCCATCGCCGAAGAAGATAACACCGTTGGACGTTGTTGATGATGAGAGGCAAATGGCAAATTTTCTGTGGAAGCTAAAAGCGGCGGCGAACTGTGAAGGAAGTGCCACCCGAGTCCGGCCAAGTCCAGCCATGCCCATTGCACCTGTAGCAAGGCCTTCCAAGAGGAAGGTGGGTGCACAGGAGAAAAGGAACCGAGTGACCGTGACCACCGGACCTGGGTTTGAGCCATTGGTTGATGAGATAGACACAACATCCTCCGCAAGCTCACCACCGGTGGCAGTGTGAGTGATGGAGTTATCAGGTGAAACACCACACGTGTTATTGTTGCAGCCTGGCCTAGGCCCAGAGAAGCAGTCTCCACAGCCATTAGCTCTGGCCAACGAGCACTGAGCTGATCGGCACCGTACCGGCCGATACGTAGAAGATACATAGTTACTCTCGCAATCAACCCATAAGATTTGGCCGCCAAGATCGACCACAAGGGTCACGGGCACTAGAGGTGTTCTTTGATTGATTCTGGTCAAGTACTGGAGAGTGGAAGCGTCTTTGGAGACAGAGAGAACGAGGGCACTGGGCCGAAAAGAGGATTGAGCAGAGGAGAGAGAAACAAAGAAGAGGAGAGAAGAGAGAAGAAGAAATTGAATAGTGGAAGCCATGGTAGAGGAAGTATGAAAGGCCCGTGTATTTTGTGATACAAGAAACAGGCGTGGAGAGTTGCTGCCAGGCCACCTCAATTTATATCTGTATGTAATTTGTACTGGACACAGCGTATTGGTCCTTCAATAGGAGTAGGTTGCGTGGGGATGATAATAAAAGACGACGTGGCTGTCCAAAGTCAATGGAGGCCTTTCATGTGCCAGCGCACTCATCCAGAAAGATGTATGTTAATTTTGACTTTTTTACTTTGACCCAAATACATTTTCTTTAGAATTTGAATAGTTATTACCAAATAATTAAGTCTTTAAACTTTTTTTTAATGTCAATTGAGCCCTTAAACTCTCCAATTGTGTAAAGTAAATCCATCTATTTAGCTCCGTTAGAGTGTTACTCACGTGATTATATAGCACACAAAAAAATAAGGGTTCAATCGACATAATTAAAAAGTTCAGACGCTTCATTGAAATAAAAAAAATTAAAGGTTTAATTGACAAGAGAGTTATAGTTTAAGAACAATATATATAGTTTACTTCAACTCATTTGTGTCACATGGGTAACACACTTTGCCACTTCCATTAGAAAATCTAAGGGAGGCACACAAAAAAAAAGTTCAAAAGTTTAATTGATACGATGGTCATAGTTTGAAAACTATATTTGTAGTTATACATATATATATATATATATATAATGTGTGTGTCTGATTATCATTGATATCATCAAGTTTATAAGGTTGCTCCTTATATTAGAGTCTAGCGAATAATGATATCGGGACTTAATTTAGAACCATAATCAGCGACTTGACATAAACACAACCTTTAAATAGGTTGAGAGTTGTAATGATAAATGAAATTCACTTTCAATCTACTAGCTCTAGTTGAATAGGTTACCAAATTAATTAAGTCTTTAAATTAAAATCCAAATAATAATTTTAGAATCGTAAGTAATTAACATGCATTTTTACCTTCATTTCAAAAAAATTACTTCTCAAACTCCATATCACTTAAGAGCAACGCTACTTAGACTTTAAAAATCGATACTATTTATTGACTCCATTAATCATTAACATTAATTTAACTACGAGTCCTAACATTCTATTATTTATTCAATAGTTATAATAGATAGAATAAACAGATGATATTAAATTTTAGAAGCCAAATATCATTTCTCTCATTTAATGGATAAGTGGTTGTTTGTTATATC